GCCGGTTTCGCTACGGATAAACGTGATTTGCTTTGACGAATAGGTCCTCCTTGCCGGTTTTCTGGATAAACCCTGCTGAAAACACAGATTCATCAAAATTCATAGAATTTTTTAGTTTAAATCTCTAAACCTTTGTTGGCGATCCTTTTTATACATTTATATAAGTTATGTTGATGGTTTATGATTGATGTTAACGATCGTCAACAATAAGCACGATTAAGTTTGACATCTAGGTTCACCTTGACGGTTTTCTAGATAAATCCTGCAAAAAATACATATTCACCAAAACTCATGAAATTTGTTAGTTTAAACCCCTAGACCTTCGTTGGTGATTATATTTATGCCCTTATGCATGTTATATTGATGGTTTATAATGGTTGTTAACTACCATCATCAAACTCCCCCAAGCTTAACCTTTGTTTGTCCCTTAGCAAAGATAAACTCAGCAAATAGATCAGGAGTTGCGTCGATGCTTTAACTCCTCAAAAGTACACATGTGTTCAAACAAGAATTCTCCTCTAGATTAGACTGAACCGATCTGACTTTTAAACTTACCCATATTACCTTTAACCATGGGGCTTCTTAGCCTTCACTTGGGTCTTGAGCAATTGAAAGATAGAACGATCAAGTCAAGCACTATGTCTCAAGTTCTTTGCTCGACCATTATTTTAGAGTTTTTATAGATTTTCAAAATAAAACTCAGAGCTTCCATTATATGACACTCTCAAGTCTCTCAATGTATGTGTTATTTGTGGATCCTTACCAAGACAATAGTGATGTTATGCCTTTCTCTTCCTACAACTAAGTCTTATGTGGAGCTCATAGGAGTGGAAATAGCATGAAAGAGCATACTTGTAATACATATATTGTAAAGTCAAACCTTGGATCCAAAGAGAGTTGAGTCATACAATCAAATCAAGATGTGCATGTGTGTGGATGTATGGTGGATATATATGGTAGCTAACCTAATTCTACAATGCTCCTTAAAAATATATCTCTCTTTTGAAACTTGAAAATTCTTTGCAAGAAAACATGGGCTATCTTATTCATCTCTTTTTTTCAGGCGGACATCTAAGTACCCATTGTTTTAAATATTTCGGACACTTGTCCATTTTTTTCTTTCTTTTTTTATGAATAACTTTTGCATAGCTCAATGCTTCTTTTCTACAATAAAACTTTTGAGAGATAGCAACAAGAACTTGGAGCATTTATTTGGTGGATATCCTATCAAAAAATATTTTTGGTGTTTACTCTCAGTATAGGAGTGAAACATTTTTTGGGTGGATCTAGATGGAATGGCATGTTGTTGCGCCTACCCCCAGTGTAGGAGTAGTGCATATTTAGGTTGTGTGTACGTGATCTTGATTTTAAGAGCATGACAAACCTCTCATAAGGGTCAACAAAGCTTGACTAAACTCAATGTAAAACAAGCAACATATATGTGGAAGCTTTTTTTCTAAATAACATATATGGCTCTGGTAGGAATTCAAACTTTGTCATACAGGAGCTCATCATGTAGCATTTTTATGTTTTTCAAAAGATAATTCTCCAGAACTTTAGTATCAATTGGAACAAGATAAGCAGCAGCTCAGACCTTCTCATATCATATCCGTCAATTACCTAGACTTAGATCAAGCATACGCTACCCACGAGTTTCAAGTTCAGAGTAAATTCTTATATCAAAACAGTCGTATCCAAAACTCGAAAGAATTCAAGGCTGAAAACTAGGTACTTAAAAGGAATTGCAACAAAGCAACTATCCATGGTCGTCACGGGTAAGGATTCTCAATCCAGCATTCTTGGGTCTAGTTTGGACTTGGCTTATTGGGTTCTTGGGCCACAACTTTACCTATCAAAACCTTCCAAGGAGCATTAGTCTTTGACACATCAATCAACCCGGCATAGGAGCATGGGATTTGTACACATAAGCACCAAACCAGTTGTTGAAGTGGAGTATGAGCTTCTATCCAATCGAAAGAAGCAAAGGCTTTTCGGTACTGCCACGAGTAAATTTTGTTGCTATAGAATAATATGTGTTGTTGTAATATTGTATTCTATTGCAACACTCCTATTTGGTGGGCCTTTGGGTGTGAAAGGCTAGGAAAACAAGGCACCAACACCCAACGTGAATAAGAGAAATTGGTGCCCTATAGATCAAGAAACGACAGCTCCACGCCCTTCATTATTAGGACATCAACACTGCGATGCTCGACACACGCCGTCTACATTGACAATGCTTGCACCTTGCCTTTGGTAAAGTTCTAACGATCTTGTGGACACGTACTCTCCATGCTACAGATTTATGCAATTCTCATTTAATTCATTTTATTAGCGTACTAGGGTATACTAGTATGTATTTAGTCAGCCTAATAATTGCTTGCTTAAGTATACTAGTATGTATTTAGTCAATTTTTTTGGAACAAACATATACATTAGTTCATACCAACTACCAGGTCATACATTACATATATATCATGGGTCCGAACATAGCCACAAACTTACATTAGTTCATACAAACCAACAACCAACACATGTAGTGCTTCCATGCCAACTCCCGGGTCATATATATATATATATATATACACATAGACAATCAAATTACTATGCAAATAAGCCCAACGGCATATCATAACATTCACCATATTTCATTACATTCATTGTCAAGTTCATATCGACATAAGTGACAGTTTATATAGATAAAATAAAACACAGCATTACATTCGTCCTTAGGCAGGCAAGGACATAGACTATCTGTTGAGCAAGTCCCCAGCTGCTTGACATTGGCCATCCATAATCAGCCTGTTCGCTTGCTCGTAAACGATCGTAAATTTCCAGCCGGGAACAGTGTTTTTCTCCCACACCAAACCAGCCAGCAGTAAATAATCCACGATACGATACGGCCTCCCGATCAGGCTGAATGCCTTTTGTCCACTATGCAACCAGATAAACACACAACCACTTCTCCAAAGTAACCGCAATTCCTGTTCAAATCAATCGAATTAAGTTTATTCAAAAGCAACAGCTATAGCAAAAGGTAGTACATAGAAAGTAATCAAATATCAACTTGTTGAGGCATCAAAAATAGTGTAATTGAAATAAATATAGAAATGAACTCATATTGTAACTTCTGGTTATCAGCACTGAATATATATATATAACTAAACAATTATAAATTTGTACTATTCATGAACGCTTTTAGATTAGAATTAGAGCCATATCCAGTTATTCTTGGTGTCAAGGGCAAGAGCGAGTACCTTAGGGTCATGGAATTTGTCCATATCATGCATACACAACACATGAGAAGCAACCATCACTTACTGAAGCAAAGAAATCAGTCAAAAAGGCACTTTACATATGTGTACTGCGGGAAGAAACCAGATAGCTGATCCAAAAATACAATCAAACAAGGTGGTGCAGCTACAACTTTGCTACAACATGCAGTAGCCAGAACCCTTCGCAGTAGTGACCACTGCAAATACTACAGCTATGCAACAGAATGCAAATATTCCTTACCAGATTTGTGAAGGAATGAAAAATTGATCTACTGAGTTTCAGACACGGCAATATAAGTTGTGTGACTGTTTTTAGAAAGTTACAGACACCACCAATATTATAGCAATGCAACAGGATTCAGAGTTTCAGACAGCAGCACTGACATCTGAGTGAGAAGTATAACTCTATAAGCTGCTGAGTTGTTTACTTATGGCTGTAAGTAGTACACTGGATTAGCACTAGTCATACTTTGTAAAACTAAATAAATACAGAGAATCCAGTGTTATCACCTTTCAGTGTCATTTTAGTACGTATTGCTTGCTGGTCATTTTAGTACATATTGCTTGCAATTTAATTTCATGGAGAAAGTAAATGGTTCTACCAGTCAAAACTACAGGTTGCTAAACATGTATGCTACTTAAGGAGAAGTACAAAGCAGAGCATAGGTGAGCCGAGCTGTTGCCAACAGCCAGCCAACTGCTGCACAGAACAGAACATTTTAGCCGAGCTGTTGCCAACAGCCAGACAAGTTTGATGGTGGCACTGTAGTAGGACAACATTTTATTAATGAAAAAAGCACCAGCAGCTGGTTTGCTTTCACAGACTCATTGGTTTTCTCTGCAATCAAACCACACACAAAATTAATTGCATTGGAACACAGTCGTATGAGCATGAACAAAGATTGAAATCACCAACTCACAAATTGAAATAAGTGCAAACATTTCTAGTTGGAGTGCTGCTTGTGCAGACATGCTAATTAGCATCTATTTATTATTTAATATGTGCAGACATCCTTATTGGTGCACATAAGTGGTCAGAGATATTTCTTAAATATGTTCAGACTTGCATGTAGTAAATTATCAGAAATGTTCAGATAGAATATTAGACGATAGGTTAATTCCCCTAAGCATTTACTGTCCCCTATTGTGGTTGACAAACCACAGACCAGATTTGGCCTCCTAGCTGGTCTGTTCTGCATGCTGCTGCTACTGGATATTATTTGTACTACTTAAGTGACAATTATTTGGCCCTAAACCTGTACTGGTACATGCAAAACATGAACTGAAAACACCACTAGGAGAATGATTATTAATAAATGGGTACCTTTGTGATTTCTGTAGGTTGCCAAGCACCTTGAATATCCTGCTTGTTTGCAAGCTCCAATGCTAAACTTCAGACTAGTGACTGAGAATTTTGACTTTCAAAACCCTGTGTAAAATACAACATAATTGTAGTGTTTTGGTGCAGAGGCAGCACACAGCTCTATATTTCAGATACATGCAGCAGCAGCATAAATACATGCAGAGGCAGCACACAAAAAGAAAAAGACAATGCAATTGGTATTACAGATATGGTTGCCTTTTTATTCAGGAAAATACTACATCTAACACTATCTGTATCAGGATATGAACACTATCTGCATGGAACATCACTACAGCTCTATATTTCAGATTGCATGAACACTATCTGCATATGAGATGTGCCCATTTTCAGTAAAGGAAGGGCAATCAGAGAGGACGTATTCTAACAGTCAGTTTCTGTATCAAGAATATTTGTAGTTAAGCAGAAATCAGTTAGTTTACCTCATCAGCATTTATATCTGAGAAGAGAACCTGAAAAGCGCAAACCATGTTATGAAAACAGCCAATTTCAGGAAGACAAAGTAGCCCAAAATGTTGCCAGTGCCATGGGCAGAAGATATATTAATCGATAAATATCCATGTCTTAATAAACATAAAGCAAGAATACAAGCAATATTCTATCCAAATTTCTACCCAAGAATCAAACCTTTCGGCAGCCTAGTCCTCGAGTGGCATGAGCTCAGCCTTGAGCTGCTGTCTTGAGCCACATGGAGCAACGGGGCCATCTGTGTAAGAGGGCACGACACGTGCAAGGAGCGCCTCACTGAGCGCCGTGCATGATGTGGCTCTTCGCTGAAGTAGACCGTCTAGATGAGTCTCTGAAGTATTGTACAAAAGTGGGAAATTCAAATCGCACTGTCATGGCTGTCATTAGCCAATCACTTCGTGGCACTATCAAAATAGTAAATCATTACTCCAGAAGCCAATAGGTGCACCAGGATCCAAAGATGAAGGGAGCACGCACACACCTGTCTGAGGTTATTATCGATGCATCTGGAGTTGGCAGTGGTCTTGTTGGGGTAGTCCATGACATTGCTGCGCAGCTCCCTGATAGATCTCTCGAACTTGTAGTTGTAGTAGTAGAGATCGAACTGCGAGAGCTTGCCCCTGATGTCGTCAAGAGAAGGTGAGGAGCTGAGGCATAGAGGACTTAAACATGATGTTGCTGCCCAAAAAGACATATTTTATTTATAAGTATTAGCCAATAATATACTTTTTGTGCTTATTTATTGGAATTACTTAAAAATGCTACTGCACTTGCCAACACACAAGAAAATCCGGTGCTGTATCTGAACTGTAAATAGCATGGACAAAATTCAGAGAACAGCAACACTGGCAAAACTCAGGTACAGCTGAAAAAGCAATCAAGCAGCATAGTAAGTCATGCTCAAACAATCTAATATGTCCAACGAAGCAGCAAAACAGTAAACAGCATAGTACACTTCTCAAGCAAAGTGAATAAATTAATCTTCTTGACTAATAAACAAGTACTGTATTGATTAAATAGATTACATGTGTACACACTTACTAATAAAAAAATCAGGGAACACACCTAATCTAAACAATCTAATTCTCCTAAATTTAGCTGAACACAGAACCATCGGATTGCAGATATTTCATCAAACAAAGAAGTCATGTAGATCTAGCAGGGTGCGGGATTTACCTAGACAAGGCATCTGCTTGGTTGCAGGCTTGGAGGCGTCCAGCTCATCTAACCGCGCAAGAACGTCGGCCGTCACCGTGTATACCACCCCGGCCACTCGGCGGACGCCCACACCCAGGAGCCAAACCTAGGTAAGAGATCAGAGTAAGTTTGGGAGAAAGAAAAAAGGGAAATGGGAGAGAAGAGATGGAGTAATGGAGGGTGAACGCGCCTCCATGATGACTGTGAACGGGAGGGGAGCTCGAGCCACGTGGTCGGAGAGGGAGCGTGTGCCGTCAGATCGGGGATGGAGTGAGCGCCGTCGGGTCGGGGACGGAGAGCCGCGCCGCCGGGTCGGAGAGGTGGTGCTCGGCCTGCCCACGGCGGTGTGCTTGGAGGAGGACCACCACCGGCCCCAGGGGTGCCCTCGGAGGAGGACCGCCGCCACCTTCTTCTTTGCGGGCAAGGATGAGAGGAATTGCGGGTGAGAGATGGACGACGATGATGAGACACAGGATGAAAAGATAAGGTTGTACAGGAGTGGTACGAGTAGGGGGGGAAATGGGCCGTGGCGCCAATTTGGCACTAATGGCGCCGAGCACCAAAAGTTTGGTTTTTTTGTGCGGTATTTTGCTGCCGAATTCTAAAAACAGCTACAAGTGCCACTTTTTTCTCTGTCAGCTCATATGATATTTAAAAATTATTTATAGGACTTTGAAAATTATCATTCTTTATTTTTATTTTTTATTACTCCATCCATCCTAAAATAAGTACACGTCTCACACTTCGCAAAGTCAGACAAACTTAAGTTTGACCAGTCTATATAAAAAAATACTAAGATTTATAATATCCAATGATCATCATTAGATTAGTTACATCATATATTGTTGTACTAATCTTATTTAGAGATGTAAATGCAAATACTATTTTCAATCTAATCAAACTTGAGGTTTGTTTGACTCCTTGAAATGCGAGACATGCACTTATTTTGGGACGTAGTAAGTAGTTATATGGATCATTGTCTATATGTAGATCACATTGCTAGACATCGAGTAAAATTCATAAACTTTGCCAATGGTGTCATCTTGATCTCTGAAACTAAGTGATATCAGTGTTGAAATAAATCTTAGACTAACAAGGTCTTAGGCTTAGCCTAAACATGATTACTAACTTAATCTTACACACAATAAATCTTAGTGACTAACCAAAGAGTTTGTAGATCTAAGCGTGTCTATAAATGTAGTGAGGTTGATGTAGATGAAGTAGATATACCGATCTTCACTAATTAAGAGCCGGGGCTCTTTCTTGATGAAAAACTTGACGTAGATCCGATCTGAAGCCTTGTGGACTCCTAGAATAGGGAATCGTGCTTCTAAACCCCCTCGTAATGCCTAATCAATCGGTTAGATGGATCTAAGTGTTGAGAGCTTAGCCTTAATCCCAAATCACCTTTTGTGTTATATATATATATATATATATATATATATATATATAATGTATAGTCTCACTTTATTTGTGAAGGATGTATAGTTTTATTTTATATGGTGTTTTTGGTCAGCTATCTAATTATGGTTGAATGTCATTCTAGTTTATTTTCCACTCCCCTCAAACTACGAAAATGCTATCCTAATTCATTTGATCAATTTATCAATTTTTTTGGGTTGACACGATGACCTAAAATAGTTTGAACTTGCAACCTTAGTCTCAGACCACTTATTCTTTATTAATAAATACCCTCTTGATGTACCAGGTATTATCTATCCCTAACAATAAAGTGACAAAATTTCTTACCCGCAACAAGTTTTCATCCAGCCTAATGCTTCCGCTCGGTAACACGTGGCAATTTTTTTTATCCGTCCGTATTTTTCCGGTGTGTGTTCGCGCCTTTGGTTTTCTTCTCTGGTTTTCGTTTCCGTCTGGTGCCTGTTTCTTTGTTTTTCTTCTCCGGTTTCCGTGTCCGTCTTGTCCCCGTCTCTGTTTTCTCCATGCTGGTTCGTATGTCTGCTCGTTTTTTTTTCATTTTTCTCCAGTTTTCATCGTTCGACTAGTGCCCATTTTTTGTTCCTTTTTTTAAGTACCTCCCGTCCGTTTTTTTATGAGACTTTTTTTTCCATTATATTTTTGGTTTTTCTTATATAAAGATAAAAGATATATACGTGATCTATCTATAATCGTCTCTAGAAGTTCACTTAGATTGATCTCCATATATTAAAGAGCGAAGGGATTTATTCAAATCATCTATTTTACTTTTCAAAAAAGCGCTCTCACGTCTATTGTGATACGTATTTGACCCGTAGTCATACAAATTAGAATAACTCGTGTCCAACAATAATACACAATTTGGTTCCAAGATATTTGAGTTCGAATACAAAATACGGGCTCCACGTGTATACTACCTCTGTCTCTTTTTAAGTGTCTCTGTGGTGTTCATGCTGATCAAACTTTCTTAAGTTTAAGCTAAGTTTATAGAAAATATAAGCAATATTTTTATAAAGTTTATTATGAAAATAAATTCAACAATCTATCTAATGATACTAATGATGTACCATAAATCACTTAGGTTTTTAATATTAAAAAAATATAATATATATATATTAGCGGTTAGAGTTTATAAGCTTTGACCAATAATTTAACAAACATTTTGAACTATTGTAATACAAAATCAATACTATTAGATTTGTAATCAAACATGCTGTCCAATAATCAGTAGTTTATAATCATAAACTATAGGATATAATATAAATGAATGGTCAAAATATGTTTTAGATGGCTATACCATATCAGATTATGCCTTATATAAACCGGACTCAAGCTGGAGGTCTATTTGCAAAACACGGATATATTTGCTAGTAAGTAAAAGGAAAGTAACCAAAAGCCTATTTGGAATGGGGGAATTTCATAAAAAAACATAAAAATTTCACACTAATCGTTTCATTTTTATAGAAAAAACATATCAACATATAATCCTTGTTCCAAATAGACCTCCAAAATTTTGGCGGCTAGCCGAGAAATCCGAAAGCCACCCCTCGAATATTAATGCCTGACGACTTATCGCGCGCTGCGCTGGGCCATCCGCGCTCAAATTTTATACATCTCCATGGTCAAAACCCTAGGCCACGCCTCAAACGAAATACCGCCACCACCCGTCCCTCAGATGGAGCCCTCCTCTCTTCTCCCCCATATCAAAAATCGCCGCCTCCGCCCCCACACCCGATGGCCCGACCGAACGACTACGGCCCATCCCTCTCCGGATCCTCTCCTGCTGGAGCCGCCGCCGCCCTTCCTCTGCTGGAGACGCCGCCACCGCCCGCACACCCAACGGCCCGACCGCGACCCGTCCGTTTCCTGGTCCTCTCCTGCTGGAGACGCCGCCACCCTTCCTCTCTCTGCTAGAGATGCCACCGCCACCCTTCTCTGCTAGAGATGCCGCCGCCCTTCCTCTCTTGGAGAGGCCCCGAGGACTCCAAGGCCGCCGCCGTCGTGCTCATCGCTGACGTCTTCGGTATTTGCTTCATTTCCCTTCGAATCTGCTTCACCTTGAGTTTGCCTGGGATAGTGACAAGTTACAAGTAAAAGCCTTTCTTCTCTTGCAGGATTTGATGCGCCGAATCTGAGGTAAAACTTTCTGTAATGGACTTCTCCCCAGTGTTTTATTATTATTATTTGCAAACGCCCTTGCATCCAGAGATCTGTTAATCACTAGCGTTGATGGAGATGAATCGTGGCGGATTTACAGGGGACATGCGATTATCAATGAAAGGTGTTATGTGCTGCTAGTACTACTACAATCTAGGCTTCTAGTAAAAACTGTTGATTATTATGCTCAACTTCTAGTACACCGAATAGTGGTGAAACTTGTATCATGTTGCTCAGTTGCTGTATCCAATTCAGGGTCTGTGCCAGTGGGTCTTAAGTCACCATCTCCTGCTGGTTCTGAAAGTTTATTTATACAAGATGGAAATAAGTCTTGTAAATCAGACCACAGTACCGCAACTATTCACCATTCACTATTAGTAAATAGTCTAACTATATAAGCTAAATACCTTTTTTTATGCCAAGCTAAATAACTTTTACTTCATATATTACACGTGCATTCTTCATGTTTTTGCAAATGGTTCATTGGGTTGTTATTCAGAAACTTTGGAACTGGACGTTGTCTGTTCTTACTATGTTGTATTTTTAGAATGTTCCCAAAGTCCAATACTGAAGTTCAATGATGACCTCTGGTTGTGTCCTCTTTTAAATGCTACCAAATTTTATCATAATCACCGAGTATCACCTGTAAAGAGATTTTGATAGTATTTTCTTGTCTTATCTCACAAAGGAAGATAGGTAACAAGGTTTCTTCGACAGGGTACTTTGTTGTGGTACCAGATTTCTTTCATGCGGATCCTTATGTCCCTGAGAATGCTGAAAAGCCCCTACCTGTGTGGATAATGCACCGGTTCATTGTCTCCTGTCCTTTTCTGAACTATTCCTGTAAATATTTGGCCGTACCTTGTTTCTATTTATGTTGATTTAGATGAGAAATCAAAATTAAGGAGATATTGAAGAAGATAATAGGTAGTTAAAGAATGTTTTAGACGCCTAACTGTAAAATCTAGATGACACTAAACATGATCTTCTAACAGCATGCATTATATTGGCAGTGAAATTGCTGTATGTAATTTACTGCCTACCAATGTGATGAGTATGTCCTTCTCAATTGCACATGAGGAAAAAAATATCACTAAAAATCATACATATTTAATCAACTATTGATGCTACTAACTTTGAATATCAGTTCCTTTATTTGGCTCTAAAATTGGGTTTCGGCAATGTTTGCTCTTGCTGCAGAGCTAAGGCTGCATCAATGGCCTCCACCAACTGTCGATTCCTAACTCAGAGATAAGTGCTCCCTCTCAATTTCCCAAACCACTTTGCTTTAATCTCACTTTGGTTGCCAAACTGTTCTTGTGGTTATATTGATGGTTGGTTTACTGAAGTCTGTTGCTGCCGATGTGAAATCATGTGCATTTAATTGCTCTCAAGTCA